GGAGTTGCCCTTTTGGTCGGAGCTAGGAACAGTGTGTTTTGGGATTGCCAGTGTTGGTCGAGCTAGAAACCCTGTGTTCCCGGGGGGTTGCCAGTGTTGGGCGAGCTAGGAAAAGTGTGTTTCGGGGATTTTCCAGTGTTGGGTCGGGGCTAGGAAAAAGTTTTGGGGTTTGGGAGTTTTCCATTTTTGGTCCGAGCAGGAACAGTGGGGTTCCCGGGAAATTGCCAGGTTTGGGCGGAGCTAGAAACGTGTGTTCGGGAAATTGCCAGTGTTGGTCGGGGCTAGGAAAAAGTGTGTTTGGGGGAGTTCCAGTGTTGGCCCGGGGCTAGGAAAAGGGGTTCGGGGGTTGGGCCCGTGTTGGGCGGAGCTAGGGAAAAAGTGTGTTTTGGGGAATTTTCCCCAGTGTTGGTCGGAAACTTGGAACAGTGTGTTCGGGGTTTTTTCCAGTGTTTTTCGGAGCTGGAAAAAGTGTGTTCGGGGGTTCCCGTGTTGGGCGGAAACTAGGAACCCGTGTTTTCGGGTGGGGGCCATTTTTGGTCGGGGCCCGGAAAAAGTGTGTTTTGGGGAGTTCCAGTGTTTTGGGGCGGAGCTAAACAGTGTGTTCCGGGGGGTTTTCCCCGTTTGGTTTGGAGCTAGGAAAAAGTGTGTTCCCGGGGGGTTGCCAGTGTTTGGGGGAGCTAGGAAAAAGTGGGGTTCGGGGGTTGCCAGTGTTGTGGAAACTAGGAACAGTGGTTCGGGGATTTTCCAGTGTTTTTCGGGGCTAGGAACAGTTTTGGGTTTTTAGTTGCCCCGTTTGGTTTGGAGCTTTGAAACAGTGGGGGTTTTGGGTTTGCCATGTTGGTTTGGAGCTAGGAACAGTGTGTTTGGGTTTGTTGCCCCTGTTGGTCGGAGGGTAGGAAAAAGTTTGTTCGGGAAAATTTTTCCAAAATTGGTTTGGAGCTAGAAAAAAGTGTGTTCGGGTATTGCCATTTTTGGTGGAAACTAGGAAAGTGTGTCGGGGAGTTGCCAGGTTGGTCGGAGCTAGGAAAAAGTGTGTTTTCCCGGGGAGTTGCCAGTGGGTAGTAAAAAGTGGGTTCGGGGGTTGGATTTTTTGGGCAAAGGTTTTTTCCTATTAGTGGTTTGAAATTTAAACAGTGGGCGGGGGGCCCCGGGGGTATAAGGTGGGGGGGGATTTTAAGGGGAAGGTTTTTCCAATGGAAAATTATTAAATCAAGGGGGCCCCTAAACCAAAACCCAAAGGAAACCCCTTGGGGGGGGGGTCCTTTTTTAATGGGGAAAGAAATTCCCAAAAAAGAGTCGTTGGTTTTTTGGGGCCAAATGGGAAAAAATTTATCTGGTTTTGGTTTGGTGGCATTGGGAAACTTTTTTAAAAGGGAAACTTTGCCCCAAGGGCTTTTTTTTTAAAAGGGGGGGGGGGGGCCCAATTTAACAAAAAGAGGAAGGCGTAAGGAAATGAGGAGTATTAAAGGGAATCAGTCCCTCAGGCCCGATGGGCTGAACACTTTGACTCCAGGGGTGGGGGCCCGATTACCTCCCTACTCCCCCCTTTCCCCTTTCGCCTTCCCCCTTTGTATTGGAAATGATGAGCCAATTGTGGCAAATTTTTCCCCGAATAAAGATTTCCCCTATACTGCAAAAAGTGTTTTCAATCTTCAACTTGGGCGGTTTTTTTAAACCTTCCCTCTCATCTGGGTTTTGGGTTTAAATTTAATTTTGCTATTTCGTGTTATCTTTTTTGTTCCCATAATTTCTGATAGGGTTTTCCAGGTCTTTTTTATGTCGCCTCGTAAGTTGGATAATCTATTCTCATAATACAATTTTTTAGCCCTTCTTATTTTTTTTTATATTTTATTTAAAAAACACAGTATACAGTATACATGTATATTACACATAATTGACATAATCACAATATATGAACCATTTACAAGAAAACAAAATTTCTATAACTAACGGATAACATACATCAAAAATTGCTCCTTTTTTTTTTTAATAAAAACGTAGAGTGCTTACATGAGTAATACATGATAGAAGAAGAGGAAGATAATGCCAGGTAAGAGACATTGAAGACTTGCACCTCCACGAGGAGGAAAACTAACCCTGATAGACTGAATAAACTCATAGTATAAAACTCACTATCAACAACTTTACAGCAAGTATATAATTGCTCATTATCATTGATAACAAAAACTGTTGTATGATAACACATCAAAAGGGAAAATTGTACGACAAGTAACATAAACTTATTTAACCTCAGGTATATGTTCTGTTGTGCTATTAATTTAAGTTAGATAACTCCTTATAACTAACTACAGTTATAATCGTTTATGTTGCACTGAGAATACAAAAATTTGAGTACAGCCTACAAGGTGGGTACATAATGTTTACACGGCCTTCAGGTTATATATTATTATATTCAAAAGGTAAGATGACACCAAAGATGTCAGTTGTAATACCTAACTAACCTAACTCATCGAATAGCATATTAGTCTTAACATATATCAGTGAGAATACTTCGACATACCCCCTCCCCCCTCCCCCCCCCCCTCCCCCCCGTTGAATCTATTCCATTACACCAACACATTATTATTATCATTAAATTCTTACGAATATAAAGGCAATTATAATTATTAAGTAATTTGTTTAAACACATTTGTAGCTAACTGTGCATTCCTTTGTAAAATTTTCCCGACGAACCTATATGGGTTGGTGGTTTAACAAAGGCGTCCCAAAGGATTGGTTATTTATTACAGGCCATTCGTGATGCTTAAAAAATACACTATCAACAATAACGGTAATTTATTGAGTGTGACGTCAGTGTGACAGTTATATATTACAATATTATGAACGTGCCATTGTAGACACTGGAAAAGACCCACAAGGACTCCTCCCGTTACCAATAAACCATTACCAAAATATTATTTATATTTTTTTAATTTTATGTATATACTCTGTAATTATTATTTTACTACATGTAAACCACACAATAACCAAATTCTGTAAACTCAGCATTGTAATCCTTATAGAGAATAAACTTTGAACTTTGAACTTTGAGAGTGGCCACAGACGTGTGAACACTGTCTGTTTGGAATTAGTGAGGGGCGTGCTTACTGCCCAGAATACCAACATGTTGCTGACGGCGGTATTGCGGGATACGTACGGCATCGCTAATGAAGATCTTTATGGAGTCTCACTGATTGGTGTGGCAAGCATTTTCGTTAAGTTCCGGCTGAGCAGTACATATGACAACATGGTGGCCAAGTATCAGGACGTGGTTAAGACGGTTACCCTTGGCGTTAGTGTCCGTCTTCATGACGTTTCAAGATTCTACACCTGGGTCAAGGTGCGTAATGTACCTTTCGAGGCGGATGAAAGTGATTTACGGCAGGTGTTTGGACGATATGGGACGATCCACCCTACTTAAGGAATGTGGGGTTGTTCACATGGAAAATATCCTGGAGACACGGAAGGTGAATTCGAAAGAAGCTGTAGATAGGGTTTTGGTAGCTTAGCGGGTTTGCATACAGGAGGTTTGACGCTGCACCAGCGAGCTATTGTGGTGAATGTGAAACTGTATAGTGAGCTATGGCATGTGGCAGGTATATATCCCTTGGAAACATGTGATGAGAAGCGTCTGTTGAAGCGCGTGTATCAATATATTTGGGGTTCGGGTTGTGAATGGTTGTCGAGAGATGTTGTGTGTTTACCGGTACGCCAGGGAGGGCTGGGGTTAATGGCGCTGCATCAAAGGTTGTTGGGTATGTACGTTAAACATAGTTATTTGAGGGAGGGCAGAATCACAGGTACAGGTTTGGCATGGGTGAGAAGGGACTTGGTACGTTGGACGAGGGGTAGGGATGTTCAGGTGTGTGAGGGAATGTTGAGGTTGTTGTGTAATGCAAGGGAACCCTGCGGGGTTAAGATAGGTACACTAGCTCGGGTGGGTGGTGGGGAGGTAGTTGCTAGGGTTGTGGGTTTGTATCCGATGTATGCATGGAGTGATATATGGGGGCGCCTGCGAGGGTTGCAATTGAAGGCTGTGGTGCGGGAGGTAATGTTTAAATTTCTTCCATCCATAATATATTGCCGTCGGGGAGGTATTAGGTAATAGGCGTGTGCAGGAGGGACGGAATGTTGTGAGTGTGGGGGTATTGACACTTATCATGACAGTATATTTTTGTGAAAGGTTGGAACCAGTGAGAGAGTGGTTTAGCAGGGTTTTACGTATGGTGGGTGGGGTGGTATTGTGTTCTACGGGCATTAAGCTTGGATATGGGGGGGGGGGGATTACAAAAGCGAATGGGTAGGTAGCCCTTCGTTATATTTTCGTGGGGTTTTACGGAGAGGGGGTGGGGGGGAATTAGGGGTGCGGATAT